CGTAAATGAACAGTTGATGAATTACACTTTTCTGAGAATAGATTATTGAAGTGGAGATCGCTAAACTGCAAGCTAACCAGTGTTTTCAGAAAGCAAGCGCGTTTATCCACAGTGGATAGAGAGCGCATGCACATGGTTGCCAGGTTGACAAAGATAAGTAGCACATTTAGCAGATATTTCCGTATTGCGCAAGTGTAAAGCTCTATTTTGGGGATTACGTCTCTTTATATCAGGCAACCCCGTTGTGTTCCTCTGCGGCCAGATTAAACCTTGTTGTAGCCTATATATGCTCTATTCATTCTTTTTAGAAACCTCGCACTTTTCTACTCCATTTTAAATGTAAATTTTTACACAAATTAAGCGCGGTACACTGCTGCACACGTGCCACAGTATCGATACAGGGCCAGCTGTATCGATACTCGTATCGTCAAATCTCTGTGACGATACATCGTCGTATCGATATTTTGAACACAGCACTAGTCCATACTGTGGTGTTGGATTTTGACTAACCACTGATGCTCTAGTGCATAATCAACAGAAGACTAAAGGAATTGCATCGTAATGAATTTCCACACAAAGGTACACAATAATGCAAGGAGGATGTTTTTTTCCTTGTCTTTGATATACCAGTATCCTCTATTTAATTTGAAAAACATTAATTCTATCTAACTAAGTTTTGTATGAAAGTTTCCCCTTACAGTAAATGCTAATTTCACAAAGACCGGAAGTAAGCATGCCCACTCTCGCGTCGCAGAAACTCACCGACGCCATCTTGTGCACCTAGCCAATTTTAAACACAGGGATTAAAGTTCCGTCGCTACGACGGATTTCTGTCAGTTCATAAAGACAGTCACTTGCTTCATTCCTGAATGATTCAGCCGTTCGAACGAATCAATTGAATGAATGATTCAGTGATTAAATCAGTGACTTGCCGTCACCTGCTGGCGGATTTAGTTTCATTTTTTAGCGTATAATTTCAGTTATTTCAATCATATTTCTGTATTCAAAATTTGAATATTTAAAACATCAATCTCCACATGAATTTATTAATTTAATTGCACTCATGCTACCTCTGAGCCTCATTAAACGTCTGAAAATGTACCTACAAGCCACTTTTGTGTTCTTCTGTGCCACCTCTGTAGTACAAATTAATACTAATTTCATATGATTGGTAACTTATTTGTCTTAAGTGTCTTAAAAAAGTCTTAGAAAAGTCTTTAAAGTCTTAAATTTAACTTGTTCATGTCTGTAGAAACCCTGTTCAGAATTTAGCTCAGACAACACAATTTGTCAAGTTTAGTGTTTTCGTTAAGACTTTAGTTTAGGGACCAATTCTCACTGTTAGCTAGTTGCTTATTAGCATGCATGTCACATATTACTGCCTTATTTTGCATAATATTTTTAAATCCCTTAATTCTACCCCATACCTAAACTTAACAACTACCTTACTAACTATTAATAAGTATTAACTATTAGTTAATAGTGAGAATTGGTTCCCAAATTAAAGTGCGACCATATATATATATAGAGAGAGAGAGAGAGAGTGTGCAAATGATCTAAGTCTCACAAGCCTGAAGTATATATATATATATGTGTGTGTGTATATGTATATATCACAGTATACAATAGTTACAAATTCCGTTTGAATCCGGACTAAAAAACTGAAAGTGATGCAGTTCTCTGATTTCAGTGGTGTGTGTGTGTGTGTGTGTGTGTGTGTGTGTGCGTAGGTACCCGCCTGAACAGCAGGAGGCACTTGTGAAGAATGTGTTTTTGACTGGAGGAAACCTGCAGTACCCCGGACTAAAAGAAAGAGTGCAGAGAGACCTGCTCGCAATCAGACCCTTCCAGTCACATTTTAAGGTCTGATATTCACAGACACAACTACTTGAATTATTCTGCATGTGATCCAAAAAAAGCAGTTTCCTAGATTGTGGGGTGACGCATCTTTACCGCACTTATCCCTTCATTCAGTAAAAACATGAACATTTAAAAGGCCTGTTGGCTTCGAAAAAGCATCTCCTTTGTTCAGTTTCAAAGGATGTTTTACCTATTATTCTTATTATTAAGTGGCTATTCTACTAAAATGTGCATTATGATACAAATCATGTATGATTTGAGTATGTATCTCTTGTCTGGTAGGTGTCTCTGGCGAGACGGCCAGCTCTGGATGCTTGGTTCGGGGCATGTGAATGGGCACTTACGAACCCTGCTGAAGCTCAGGGCTGGATCAGCCGTCATGATTATGAAGAGAACGGTGGGGAATATCTGAGAGAGCACTGTGCCTCAAACATCTTCATACCCATGAAGCTCAATAAACCATCATCAGCCACAAAACAAACCCTCATGGGAAAATGCTTGACAGACACAAGCCTTCCTGACACCACCAGCAATGACAAGGACAATGACATTTCCCTGGTTTGAAATGTGTTATCCTGATTGATCGAGACTTCTGAAAGTTTGGACCTTTGAAACTGCATGGCATTTCAGTAGCCATCAAAACATTCTTGCATATCAGTTTGAGGCCTGTTTATACAGTTGGCATGTATATTTGACAATATTATTAGTGATCAGAATTTTACATTTTCTAGAATACAGTGTGTTTGTTTAGTGTGTGTTTTATTTGGTGTATAAAGGAAGAGAATTTCACATTTACAAATGTGAAGTGTTGTTGTTGTTGTTGCTGGTGTGTTTTGTCCAGACGCAGTGAAATATGATTTATTTCACATGCTGTTCTGATCTCACAAAAAGCATATGTATATTTTATTCTAATGCAGCCACTGAAGAGAAATGCAATTTCAGCTGTCAGGAAGAAATGAGTAAATTTTTTTTAATTCCTCAATTATTTATTTATTTTTTTTTACTCTGCAATTTCAGAAGTTAGGCCTATTTGAGAGCTCGCATCCAGTTTTCTGCGATTACATGACTCGTGTTACAATAAAGCGCTCGCCACATTTGCGCGGGAATGATTCAAATTATGCGGAATATCTGCAATCCTGCGCGGATATTCAGACTCGGTAATCGACAGGAGGCGATGCGTGTCAAACTCACTGTCGGAGAGGAAAGAGAGATGCAGCTTGTAGGCTATATACGGTAGATACTGTGGAAAATTAGTAATGGAACCGTGTCAGATATTTCAGTATCGGTATCAAAATATAGATATTTATGATAACACTACCTTGTAATTTGTTTCACCAAACTTTGAGTCCATAAATTACGCTGAGCTCCCTCACTGTCTGATCAGCTCTTCAAACCTGCTGCAGCGGCGCTTTTCCCGGTTCAGATATCAGGGCTTTTATTGGTCCCTTCACGATCGGATATCTTTATTGGCTACTGAAGTGCCGTCAAAGGTTTGAATATCAATTCAAATTGTGGGCGTACTCCATAACGAACTATGATTTTAAAAGTAACAAAGTAGATTATTTTGCTTAATTTGTACTTAAGTACAAGTAAAAGTACAGCTTTAAAAATATACTAAAAAAAGTACACGTTTTATTAACTAAACACTAACACAAACTAGTCTAACCAACAAACAAACATACATACACTCACGCGTACATACAAAAGGGGAGCAAAGTGGATGAAAGAGATCATTAGAAGAACAGAATGAAGCTATGGAAAATTAGTTAACCGCCTGAGTGAAACCATCACGCCATTTTATAACAGGGTCTAAAGCTTATCCTAAACCTCTGTTACGTTTAGTTAAATGTACGATACTTGCATTGCCTTGACCTG